GAGGTCTTCAACGTTTTCCAGGCCAAGGACTCCCAAACTGATGGCGAGATGGAGCAGGGACCCCCTAATTATATATATGGTATGAAATTGTGTTATATCAAACTGGTCCTATATTCACTCTAATACAGATGGAGTCATGTAACAAAATCAATTTCACCCTGGGATTATTAAAGTACTTCTGATTCCTGGTTGATGGGACAGGTGTTGTGAATGAAATGGTGTCCAGCTTGAAAGAGCTCCTGTGTGTCGCTGAATGTTTGCATTGATGACTGAAAGACATCTTCTGCCTCCATTTATCTGTTTACTACAGTGTGTTGAATTCATGTTAATGTGCATTTAAAGACATTTCAATTAGTGGAAAAAAAAATGCAGGGGGGAATATAAAAAAAAAAAGTCTAATCAACCAAAACCTCCGCGACCCCCATGCAGTACCTCCGTGGACCTCCTAGGGGTCACGGACCCCCTGTTGCAGAGCTCCTGTCTACAGCATTTTCGATAAAAACAATACCACTATGATATAAACCTCTGCATAACTTCAAATTGATATACACTACACTCAAAAGAACAGTCTATATTTTAAAGATGATCTAGAAAATAGTTAAAAATTAAGGGTATTTACCCTTAATTTGAGTAGATAAATAAGATGATTTGCCAATGGAATGAGTATTTATACTCTTAAAATTAGATAATTAGATAATATTCTCTTGAAATAAGACAAAGCAATTGTTTATTTCTTATTTTAAATGTAAATTGTCTTGTTCCATTGGCAATGTGTCTCACTTATCTCCTCAATTCAAGAAAAAATCCACTTATTTGAAGAAAGAAGAACTTATTTAGAATTTTTCCAGTGTAATGTCTACTGGGTTTTTAGACAGATAGTTTTCTAAAATACTGTGTCAGCTAGCTGTGCAGAAATGCTAGAGAGAAAGATCCTGTTTATTAATTTGTATTTTTGTCCCCCTCATGGTAAACCTATAAGTTGTGGAACTTTTGATTGTTACCTTTTTAGTTATCATACTGCTAGTGGCTATCTGAGCTGTGGGGCTAAAGGTACCTGTAACATAAAATGAAACCAGTTATGCTAATTGAATTATTGGCTCTTGTGTCACAACCCAACTCTGCTGCAACAAAAAGGGAGACAGACAAGGTTTAGTAGAACTCAATGTAGTTTTGTTTTATTCCCACAAAACAAAGCTTAGCAATGAAAACAGTAACATTTGTGTCTGTCCCCATAAGTGAATGAGAGTAAGGAAACAGGCACCTGAACACCGAACAATCAATGAGGTCAAAAGAAGGCAGAGGCCTAACTGGCTGGAAGGGAGCCTTTTAACACCTCACAGGTGTAGCTCGATCAGGCTGACGAGCCCTCTGCTTTGCTCCCTGCAAAAGAAAAGAAAACAACACAAGCTTGTCACACTGACTTGATCTGAGATATAACGAAACCATAAACAGACCACCACTCAGCGCTTAACTTTAGCAGTGCCTATTGGGGTTTCAGACTGTGACATTTCTTCTTTATTACAGCAAATAGCTGTGATAATATGCCAGCATTAGCTTTCTGCGCTAAGAAGCAACGGGTGGACAATCTGTTTTTATCTTATTTTTCACTTTTCTATCATTCTTGAAGCACTACAGAGATTTAAACAGTGCAACATATATATTTCTTACTTTTAAAGATTAATCTGATTAAATTACTAAACCTTTACTTTTGAAGCTCACGGTGGCTGTTAGCTGAAGAGCTAGATAAAAATCATTATAGCGAATTCTATTTGGACTCTGCTGTTTCATTCATCATGTATATGCAAAGCATATATTAAAAAAAATTGGTCATCACCTAACATCGCCATTGGTTAAATGTTATTTAAAATAACTGAAGCTCAACATGAAAAACATAAACAAGTAAGGATGTGTATTTCATTTGAATTGTGTCTGTCTCTTGTGCTGCAATAAAGAAACTTTAACTCTTAGATGATTATGTGTTTTACTTTATTAGACCTAGACAACTTTTATTGTCATTTTGTGTATGCAGTGTATACAAAAGGAAATTTCATTTTCAGAAAATGCAGCTTAGCAGTGAAATGAACTTTTCTATTTCATAAAGTGCAGCGGTGATCGAATTATATAAATAAAATAAATATTTGATCAATACTGATCAATACATAATCCTTAATGCATATGTATTGTGCTATTTACCTGCTACGTAGGCATACTAGAAGTGGTGCTGAAGGAAGAAAGTATTACTTTCTAAAGATGAAAACCTAATCTTCTAGAACTAAATGGCCAACATTGCCAGTGGGGGCTCTGCTACCTTTCCACCTCCCTGTAGTGGATTGCTGTGCTATGGTGCTAATGATAGCTGGAATTAAAACAGATGTAAAAAAAAAACTTAAATTCTGTTTTAGCAGTGCTATTCTTACATTTTGGCTGTGTCCGAATGTCTGCCCTAACCACTGTATAGAACACTATATAGTCTATATAGAACACTATATAGTGGTTACCAACGGGAGTGAAAAGTAGCGATCATCTGTCTAAACGGTCAGTTAGCTGAGTTCCCTAAAGTCCACTGTATATTCCCCGCTCTATATAGTGATTTAGGGATTTAATGGTTAGGGCGAACGTTCAGACAAAGCCTTTGTCTTTGTGTAAGGCAAGGCAAGGCAAATTTATTTATATAGTACAATTCAGTACAAAGACAATGCAAAGTGCTTTACATGATTCAAATATAGGAAAATAAAACAGAATCAGAGCAAGTAGAAGAAAAATAAAAAATAAATAATAAAAAAAATACAGAAACAAGAAAGAACATTAAAACCAGTTGGACTAAAGAAAAAAAAATGAACTAATGATGTTTCAGTTGAACTGTTTAACTAGAACAGTCGAAAGCAATCCTAAACAAATGTGTTTTTAGTCTTGATTTAAAGGAACTCAGGCTTTCCGCACTTTTACAGTTTTCTGGAAGAATAGGAACTAAATGCTGCTTCTCCATGTTTAGTTCTGGTTCTAGGTATGCAGAGCAGGCTGGAGCCAGAAGACCTGAGTGGTCTGGAGGGTTGATACACTGATAGCAGGTCTGTGATGTGTTTAGGTGCTAAGCCATTCAGAGATTTATAGACTAACAGAAGTATTTTAAAGTCTTTTCTCTGTGATACAGGGAGGCAGTGTAAGGACTTTAGAATTGGGGTGATGTGCTCTACTTTCTTAGTTTTAGTGAGGACACGGGCAGCAGCTGTCTGATCCACTTTTTAGGCAGACCTGTGAAAACACTGTTGCAGTAATCAATTCGTAAAAATAAACGCATGGATTAGTTTTTCCAGATCATGCTGAGACATTAGTCCTTTAATCCTGGAAATGTTCTTCAGGTGATAGAAAGACGACCTTGTAATTGTCTTTAAATGCTCTTGGAGGTTCAAGTCTGAATCCAGCACTACACCCAGATTTCGGGCCTGATCAGTCGTTACTAGCTGAATCGACTGAAGTGGTGCCTGTTCAGAATCACAGGCAGCATTGTTTCATATCCATATGCAGCATTTACATCATAGTTTACTTCATGTCGTTGGATTTTCAGATCCATGATAGCTATTTTCTGTAGAAGCTTCTCAAAGATCACTGGGCTGAAGGTGGGCATCCTTTGAAGGTGGCTCTTCTTCATCTAGTAGTTCATTTCCTCAGTTTAGGGGAGGACCACTCGTCAAAGAAACCAACGCAGTCAAAGTCCTGTGTAGGTGAACTGAGACGTTTTGTGCTGAAGAGGACTTGTGGTGTGATCAAAATAATATAGAAATGTTTAAAAGGTAATCCAGCTAGATAATTCTTCAAAAAACAATCATTTTGTTTTTACTTTTTCTGGCTTTGGCTAAGATATAAGAAGACAAAAAATAGAGAAATATAAGCAAGCAGGGAGCGAGGAAGAGATGCGTCTGAGCAGGCAGAGAGGCGGAAGCAGAAAAAAGTGTAGGTATCTGCACCCATGTACTTTTTATTGATGGTTAAAACAACCCAGAGTTTATAACAAAAATAAAACAAAATCTATTTCTACTGCACAATTCACAAAACATGTCAATCTCAAGGGACTTTACATAGTCAAATGAATCAAAACACACAGATTTGTAAAAAAAGAAAAAGAAAAAAAAAGAAAGTTATTTATCTCTGGAAACCCAGCAGATTGTATCGATTCATTGACTTGCTTGTAGGATCAGTGGGCAGTTGCTTGCAATGGGCCGTTGATTTCGCAGCAATCTCTCACTTCTAGAATGCTTGCATGGAAGAAACAGGAAGAAACCTCCAAAGCAGGCGTAGTGTGAGAAGCAGCAGCAAGTAACTAGACAGAGCACAGACACAAAAGGAACAGAAGCACTGATCTAGGAGTACTTTCTACATAAGAGAAAAGCAAGCATGAAGAAACTTCTTTAGTGGCTTCATATAGAGAAACACATCAAAGCAGAAAGGCTCAAATCTAGAAGATGAAAGCGAGCACATACAGTTACACATCATTTATTATTCGATTAACTGCTAGAAAAAACAAGATGGTAACAATGCTTTAAAACCTACACACAGAAACACTTTAGATTACAGTGCTATTTATAGCCTGTTCTTTTAATCTTTTTTGAGGGACTTTTTAATTTTGTCAATTTACAGCCACAGAAATCTTTTCATCATATTCTATTTAACAGATTAACACAATTTTATACCAATCCAGATGCAGAAATTGGATTAACTCTTGTTTTCTTTGATTAATGACGAGTTTTGAATAACTTGAAAGATTTAATATATGAAAAAGGTTAAAAACTGGAGGGGTATTTTCTTTTGTCACATGTTTCTATCATCACAAAGCTAAATGTTTATGATTGCATTCCTGATGAAATGTGAATTTATTCTTATGAAATTCAAGTATAGAACAGAGCCTCTTCCCTGCTCGCATTTTTATTCCCTTTTATTATTTTTCGTGAAGTGTTCAGCTTTCAGTGGAGCTTGTTTTAAACACGCACTGACACAGACATCGCTCCTACACCGCCTCCTGTTGAGTTTCTGTCCCCCGGGCGTTAAAAGGCGCAGTTGGTGATAAGAGCAGAGGCGCACTTTGAACAGGAGCGCGGCTGCAGGGGAAGGGGGTGGGGGCGGCCCTTCAGGACACCTGCCTGTCCTCTCTCAGCCCTCCTTCATTGGACCTTTGCTAAACAAAAGGAACAGGTTTAAATATTCCTCCACAGATTGCGCACCGATGCGCGCAAACTACAGCGGGAGACGCTGCCGTGCGCCATCCTGTCTCCTGATGAGCTGATTGAGCTTTTGCGCACCGAGCCCGGATGGGTCCAAAGTTCCAGCTGGTCCAAACTTCGGTATGATCGTTTCCAACGGGAGCCTGGGCTGCGCGCGATGTCCCGGAGAAGAAACGACGGATGCGAGCGGAGGGATCACGGACTCTTTGCCCGCCACCTCTCTGAGTCCGACCGGGCACCTGGTGGTGGCGGTGTGCCTGGGCTGCATCGGCACTCTGGGCTTTCTCAGTAACTTCCTGGTGCTGGCGCTGTTCTGCCGGTACCGGGCTCTGCGCACGCCCATGAACCTGCTGCTGGCGAGCATCTCTGTGAGCGACCTGCTGGTCAGCGTGCTGGGCACGCCGTTCAGCTTCGCGGCCAGCACCCAGGGGCGGTGGCTGATCGGACGAGCTGGATGTGTTTGGTACGGCTTCATCAACGCCTGTCTGGGTAAGGATCACATTAGGATTTAAAAACTGAGACAGAATGAGGAAGATATGTCATCGCAGCTGTTTCTGTAGATCAACAGAATAGCTGTTTTTGCTCTAAATAAACCTTTTGCAGGTTTACTCAGAGCCTGAGAGTTAAATATGTATGGATATAGCAAAAATATGTTTATTATTTCCTATAAATGTGGGAAAAAAGAAACACTTGGAAAGATGCTGCACGTTATTAGCATCCATCCATCTGACTTTTTTAATGTCTAATAACAGATTCAAGAAACAAAAAACCTTTTGGGAAACTAAGTTTGGATATTTGAACTTCATACTTTTGTGTTTTAGAGTTGGTTTTCCAGAATTATATATCAGTTTTTAAAAAAGCTGTAAATATGGGAAAATGACATGTGAGCCCCATTGTTATATATTACTAAAACTTTTCATCTGCAGGCTGAACTCAAAGCTTTGGCCAACATAATCCAATTAATATATCTTAACTATAGGAATATAGCAATTTGTTGCACTGTTTAGTACATCAATAATAATAACAGATTTTTATCGTCCACTCTCAGAGCTACATTATGGTGGATTATGTCATTCATAGAAAATATGAGGAATACAATCAAACCTTTTTGATAAAAAAAAATCATTTATGAAACTCTTGTATAATAGATTAGCTTGATACTCTAAGCTTGCATGTTTAAATGTGTCAACCCAAACCCAATAAAATCAAACTTGTAATCTTCAGGGTTTCAGGACAGTCATTGTAATTACTGAGCTGCATTTATTGATGTGGCCCCCAGAGCTCAGGACTTTGGATGTGGATTTTCCAGCCACTGGAGCGATGTAAATTAGAGGAGAGATATGTCCGACTTTTACCTTAGATTTCTTTTATTTGTCTCTAAGAGACTTAACATTTAAGGAAACAATCGATCCTTGGGTTGCCTTTGAATAAAGACTTTTTATTTTGATAATTAAACAGGCATTAATTGCTGGTTTAGCTTCCAGGCTGTGATTTGAAAGGCATCTTACTCTGCGGTTGCTCTCCAAATACTTTATAGGATCTTTTTAACCATTTACAATAAAGATAGTCGATTAGAATTGGTCAAAACAAGGAACGAGTGCAAAAAAAGCTATTGCATGTAGAAAGTAAGACTTTTACTTTAAATAAGGATGAAATCTGTGAAGATCAGGGCAAAATGATTACATAAAGTAGAGAAGCAGCGGTATCAATATTAAATATGAAGCCTGTATAAAAAGATTAATCAATGGTAGAAAAAAAAATCAGAGCTAGCTATCAAGTAGTTATGGGTAGAATATTGGAATTATATAAATAAAAACCTGTGAAGTTTTGCACCCTTTTAAAAAATAAGATGAGAAAAAGTGCAAATGTCAGCCTTTAAACGCTTAGAAATAGATGCATTTTATATTTTCTGTCTTATTTAATCCTGGAAGCTGTTCTAGAGGAAGATTTAATTTATGTGTACTGTGCTAATATTTTCTTATGGTTTTCTCAATTACTTTTAATCATCAATGAGGGTAAAGATGAACTGGGAATTACCAAAATCTCCCTAGTTTTCCTTCAACCTTTTCACTTAACCAGGTGGTTATTAAAGCAGTGGTCTCAGAACCAATCCCTTCAGGGCTGGTAAGCTGCAACATTTACATGTACCTTACCCAGCATCGCTCAACCAAATGGCTAAACTACCTCACTATGTAGTCAAGCTATGCAGAGCTCTGCTAATGAGCTCATGTTGGAGTCAGGTGTGTTGAAGCAGAGAGGCACTGCCCCCCCCAGAGACTTGTGTTTGAGACCACAAACACTTTACGTGTTGGAGAGCAGAAAATGCAAATGGTTGGAACTAATCTCTGTAGGATAATTTCAAAACCTGGATTACATCTTTCTCATTGAATCCAATTAGTATTGATTCACAACATCTTTATATTTCAAATAGGAATATTTTGACATGCAAACAGGTCCACAGCATCACAGATCCTCCACCATGCCTAGCATTGACATTAATGCACATTTCAAACTTTATCATAGAGTAATAACTAACCAGCTAAAGAGGTAAATAAAACTCCCGCCGTTTATGTTTTTGATGGTATGATAGATGACATTTCTGACATATTTCCTAATTAACCTGTTAGCATATATAGAGCCCATCTAATGGTTGTCATGGAAACTTATTGAACCAAAGATAGTCTACAAAGTGCTACAAAGTTAGAAAGATTATTATTTTAACCTTTATTTTTATCAGCTTACATAAAGCTTATTATTTATAGACGGTGCTGGACACATTTAAAATTCCTTTATTTCACATGTTTAAATGCTTTATATGTTTTTTTTTATAACTATATTATTTTTACATTTTCTTTAATTACAAGCACATAATATGATATCCAGATTTTAACACAGGCCCAAACAAAGTATTGCATGACTTTGAGAATGATAGATGTTTTTTTTTGTTTTTTTTTTACAAATAAATTGTAAGAGTAACTTATTTCTTTGTATTTCAATTTACTCTGATACTCCTGTATAATTACCTCCAAAACTCAGCTATTTAGTCATTTATAAGTGGGATAATCTTATGTTAAGATATGTGTCTGTTTCGTGAAAGTATGAGGATTTTAGAGAACACTGATGAATAAACAGCATCATAAAGACCCCAAAACACAGCAGGCGGGTTCAGGATGAAGATCTAAGGGAACTTTGAATTCGGCTTCACTCATAGAACAAAAAAAAAAAAAAAAAACAACCAACAAGAGAAAAACAAGATTTTAACATCTCCTATAGCTCTGTTGAACCCATAACCTTAAATAGGAGCAGCTATCCAGATCACTGTCCACCTAAACTGACTGTTCAGGAAAGGGAACATTATTATTCAGACCTTATCCTATGTAGGAGCAAGCATATAGATCTGATCAGATGAGACAGTTAAAAACATGATGATGATGGGGAAATGCTTTTCTTCACTGCTAACAGAAATTCTATTGGTGAAATAGACAAAGGCTTATAGAGTAGTGCAGGAATACATAGACACATATTTATATTGCTTAACCCCTAGAACCGTACGGACCCACCGGCGGGTCCAGCTGCTACATGACCTCG